TTGGTTTAGCCATTAAATCATCATCACCATCATCATCTGGTAAGTGTTGATTTTTTTTTATTCGATTCCCGTTACCAATAGAAACCTTCAATGTTATTTTCACTTTGAAAGTAGTAGATACATTTATATTTTTGGATCCATTGGAAAAACTATCAAAGTATGCGCCGAAAGCATGGAAAACACAGAATAATGTAGGTTTTGTTGTTGACAGAATTTTTCGAAAATTAATTTTCAATGTTTTTTCCATTCGCAGGGTATGGACAATAATGGCCTACCATTGTTTAATGTATATTTTCGTGTACAATTCTATGTTGATTCCTATCTGTTTATAAGGTATATTGTTTTTCATATTGATTTATTGATTTTTTTTATCTGAAATTTTCATTTTTTTTTCGTTGTGGAAATAGCTGTAAAGTTGCCAAATATTATTATTATCATCAATTACGTGAAAATGTTCTTAAATATGAACAATCAATGTCGGAAGTACGTTGTTTTCTATTGGCATCATTTGCATTACAAGCCGATTATGGAAATTATAATCCAAAATTACATAAGAATCGATATTTTGATCCAATTCATTATTTTCCATTATGGGTTCGTGTTTTAAAGATTTTTTTTTTTTGGATTTTGTTCACAAATAATAATATAATAATTTGTCTATTATAATACAGGTGATTGAAGAATTAGGTCATGATTATATACAACGTTATTTGCCCTCATTACACTGTGATCATAAAGGAATGTCAAAATCGGAAGCACAATCAATGTTTATACGTGAAGCATCCGATCCGATGGCAGCGCATAATTTTCATCTTTATAAAATGGTCTCTAATAATAAGAAACAAAGTTCAAATTCAACTACTAGTTCATCAACAGCTAATGATACATGGCTTGCAATCACCATTACTGGATTGATGATTTATGCATCGATCATCATCAGCCAATTCGTTGTTTAAAGACAAGGATCTCTTTTTTCCCATGGTCAGATATTGGAAAATTATCGTTTGATAAGAAAAAATTCGAGATTCGTTCCATTGGACCACAAAGCCGTAAATTTATCTATTATGCTGGTTCAGAAGAATTGGCCAGATTTTTATTATGGTTTTCACGTGCAAGTCATCAATTTCATTTGATGATATTGCCAAAAATGAGAGAAATGTTAAAACGTGAAGCAGAAATTAACCGGAGAAAATATCGTGAAAATTGTATCAGTTCAATTACAAGTACAAGTAGTAGACGAACTTCCAGTAGTGGTGGTAATTCAAGTGTTGTTGATGGTGGTACCTGTGAAATTGGTGGTGGTTCAAATACGAACACAACATCAAAATCTACATCACCATTTGAATTTAGTTCAGCGGCAAGCAGTAGCAGTTCAGAAAGAACAGAAGAAAAATGTTTGAAAAAATGTATAACATCCGACTTGGATATTTCAACTACATCATCAGTTTGTTATGATGGAATGATGATTGGTTGTAATGATTCGACCAAAGATCCGAATGATGAATTTCAAGATCAACAACGTGTTTCTGTCATATCGAATGCTTCATCGAATACTACATCTGGCATTGCATCGGATAAAATGCATTCCGGTTTAGGTGAAGAAGAAGATTCAGATCCAGAATCAGATTTATTAATGTCTTTGAATGGTCATCATCATTCATCATCATCATCATCGTGCAATTACATTGTCAGGATGTTCACCACAACCAGTGGTTTCAATGGAATCATTAGCAATGAGTGAACCAATCAATGATAATCATCATAGAAGCCATAATCATCATCAACAGAATCATCCACTTAATAATTATTCGGCAACCAAATCAGCAATGATGGGAAATAAAAAACATTCCATTTCAATTTCAAACATAATGATCACGGCCAATTCTGAACCATCATCATCACCAATTTCTGCTTCATCATCGTGTTCTTCTAATTCACAAATAAAAACAACGGCAACAACAACTGCAACCGAAATAATTGTTAATCCAGAGAAAAGTTCCAAAGTTTCTCTTTGTTTGAATATTAATGGATCAAAAGAACAGTCGAAAAAATTCACAGAAAATGATTCTGAAATAGAAGATTCTGGCGATGAAATTGATTCATCAATCAATAAAAATAATCGTTATAGTTCAAATAAAAGTAACGTGACAGTATTATCGACTATTCTTAAACCAGAAGCAGAACGTTTACTGAAACAAGGTATTGAAGCTGAAGATGTTTTGGATGCATTCAATAATCAATCGCAACAAAATCAAATTGATTCATTGGAATTGGCCGAATTGAAAGAATTTGAACAACAAGAAAAAGAAAAAATCATACTGAATTCATTGATCGATAATATACCTCCACCACCACCGATGGATTCATCAGATTCTTCCGATGATGATGATGATAGTTCGGATAGTAGTGATTCTGATTCATCAGATGGTGATGATGATTTTCAAACACAAAAACATCGTAATAATCGACATCATCATTATTCTCCACTTGCTCAAGAGAAACGTTTGCACAATGAACAACAACAACAACAACAACGGCAGCAGCATAATATCGATTCTTCTAGTCTAAATCAACGTAGTAATGTAATTCCAGCATTATTGAAAAGTAAAAGTTCCAATACTGCAAGTAGTATTCAACAACAACAGCAACAGCAGCAGTCAAATGGCAAACCACAAACTACTGAAACATTGAAAGCTAAAATTTTACCAATGAATCATATCTATGAAAATGTTCCCATTTCTGATCATGTTTCATCAACAGGCAGTAGATATAGTCAAGTTGTTCAAGCTTTGATCACAACACCAACTGCTAATAATAATAAACATTTTATTACTGGATTTCCACCAACAACAATTCCATTGCGTCAATATCCATCATTGAATTCTGTTCCAAATGTATCTTCTTCAAATAATAATTATCCACATCGAACTGGAATGCGTATAGGTGTATCATCATTATCACGTCCTGGTTCAGCACAGAAAAAACATGCTGCTCATTTACTTTTACATGGTGGATGTATTCACACTAATCATCAACACAGTAATCAGAATATTCCTTTATCATTATTATTAAATGGACAAACATCATCTTCCAATGGTATATTATCAAATTCATTAAATCTTTCGGCTGGATCTGAACCAAATTTATATTTTGGTGGTGGATCAAATCAATCGAATCATTGTGAATCAATTAACAACAATAATTTAGCAATTCAAACAATCCAACAACAACAACAACAACCACCACCACCGCCACCACCAGTTGCTAGTACATTTAGACAATTTATTAAAAATCAACTTGGTGATTATGCTACAAATGAACCTGTAGCAAAAAAATCATTAACATTAGATCTGACAAAAACAAATGATCAAGTGCCAAATGCTCATCATCATTCTTCTGCCATTTATATAACACCACCACCATCAGCAGATTATCATCAGAAAACCTCAATGGAACAATTGTCACCATTTGTTTCGAAAATTCCAACACCTAGTCAAATGTCGAATGTAAGTAAAAAAAATCAGTTTGATCAGTTCAATTTAATAATAATTTGTTATTTATCGATATCAGATTCCAAGCCCACGATCACTTTCATCAAATGATGATGATCAACAACAACAACAACAACAACAAAAGCCAAAAATTGTACCAAAGAAATCCAAAGAATCACGTTTACGAGAATTACGCCAACGTACTTCTGACCTGAATCTGCCATTAATAACAGCTTTATTCAATGATGCAAGTCTTCAATTATCAGATCGTTTTATGAATCATCATCCACCATCTAAAAGTCGATCGATGCAACATTTGACGCCAACAACATCAAATCATCATCATAATCATAATCACCATCATCATCATCATTATAGCAATGGAAATTGTTCATCAGGTGGTTGTACTTCATCATCATCATCATCATCATCATCATCATCATCATCATCTGCATCATCGACACCATCAAGAGCTAGCCCAGCAAGTGTTGAAAGATCATGTACATTTCGTGTAGATGAAGCCATAGCTAAATCGGCACTTCGTCAATCAAATCGAAATGATGCCAATAACAATCATCAGGATCATCATTTTGTTGATGACGATAACCATTTCATTGGACAACGACCAATCAGTTGGCATATTGAAAAATCATCACCAGCTTTTATTCCCGTTGCACAAAATAATGGTTGGCATCATCATCATCATCATCAATATTATAATGGATCACCAAATAAAATTCATAATCCACATCATCATCATCATCATCAATTTCCACAACAGCCACAACAAACTCGTCGTTCATCAACGGGAAATAGTGGAAACAATGGAAACAGTGTTGGTGGTGGTGGTGTTTCAAGAATACCACAACCAACAACTAGTACTCAATTCTATACTAAACTTCGTTCATAAAGGAAAAATTTATACTGATTAACAATGATTTACAGAGATTTATTTACACAATTCATTTATGGGAATTTTTCATATTTTTTTGTGTGTGTGTGTGGGACAAACGGATGTGTGAAAACTTTTTTTTTCTCAATTTTTCTCTTGATTGTATCACTACTTTTTTTTCTTCAATCATTTCTTGTTCCAAGATGCATTTTATGAATTTTTTTCCTTCCATTTTTTTTTTAATTCGGGTGAATGAAATTTTTTTGTTCGATTTTTGTCTATAAATTTGTCAAATGCAATATTTATTTTTTTTTTACACAAGTAAAACTGAATATATGCTCATTTTACTGGTGTTATCATATGATTTGTAAAAACAAAACAAAAATCGATTGATGATCAAACAGATCGATAAATGAATGAATAAAGAATAATTTATCTGATGTAAAACTTTTTCTTCTTTTTAAAAAAAAATTTATTAATCGATACGTCGTTTACTAACAGCAGCAAAAATTAATCAATCACATGAGTGGAAATTAAATTTTCTTCAGATCGATAAAATACAAACAAACAATGGTTTGGAATTTTTTTAGAACTTTTTAAAGAAATTTTTTTTTCTATTTAAATTTAAAAATTTTCAATACATTCATCTCGCTATAGTGTATCAATACAAACTGTGTTTTGTATATATGTTTGTTTGTTGTGTGCACATATTGATGGATGTATTGCTTAAACGTGGCTATACAAATCTGGTTAAAATTGATTCTGGTGGCCAAGCACGTGTATATAAAGCTGAACATGTACCGGATGGTAAATTGGTTGCAATAAAAATCATTCATGTTGAAAATCCAAATAATACAAAATTAGATGATGATCTTAAACGTGAATTACAAATCATTAGCAATGTTCAACATCCAAATTGTATTAAAGTACATAAATTATTACGGTCACAGGGTAAAGTTTACATAGTGATGGATTATATGATCAACGGTACAATCGGTAGCCGAATACGTAATGATGGTGAACTTTGTGAATGGCATGCACGACTTTGGTTCTGTCCAATAGCTAGAGCGATTAAATATTTGCATGAACATCGAATTGCACATCGTGATCTAAAATTGGACAATATATTGTTGGATTCACATTGGAATCCAATATTGACGGATTTTGGTTTCAGTCGATTTGTCAATATAATGGATGATGGCCAAATACAAAAAGCAATACTTATTGTGGAACACCATCGTATAATCCACCAGAAGTGTTGAAACAAATTCCATATAATCCTTTTGCTGCCGATATCTGGTGTATGGGCATTATGTTGTTCATTATGATCAATAAAATCTATCCATTCGATAAAAATGATCGTGAAAAAATGTATGAATGTCAAATATCACGTCGTTATAAATTACGTGATCAAATTGAAATGAAATCATCGATCGATGTAAAAGATTTAATAGATAGACTGCTTGAACCGAATCCAGATTTACGACCAACCATACATGATGTTTGTAATCATCCATGGTTTCCTATAGTTTTAAGGGAAAATGAATTTATACGAAAACAACGTACAACAACCGCTACCGGTGATCAACAACGACCATCATCACCAGATCCACAACAACAACAACAACAATCAATCGATATGACTAAATCACCTGGAATTGATGGTGCAGTTCGAAATACAAGTACGAAATTAATTATGAAAGCTTTTAAAAACAAACAACCAACAATGGCAGCGATACCACCAACAACAATAACAAGAATGAAAAGATGAAATTTTTTTTCAACACACAAAAAAATTCAAATAATTTTAAATCAAATAAATTCTTCATAGATGGCGTGATCTGTTGTTTCTGGCTTTAATTTTTTTTTATTCATTTTTCATCCACGCAATCTCCAATCGAGATGACGATGGCACATCAATGTTGTGAGCGACTCCATTTTGATTTTGTTTTTACACACTCATATTACAGGCAGGCACTCGAATTGTTGGCTTTGTCTTGTCTTTTGTTTTCAATTAAAACAAAAAAATTTTTCAGTCCACACCAACGTTTTCATTTTCATCTAAAAATTGATCGATATAATAACGATAACGATATGCCTATTGTACCATCTGACCGCCGTAATCGTGTATTTATCGGTGGAATCGGTGATCGTATCACTAAAGAAGGTTTGAATTTCATGCAATAACATAATCTTGAATGATTTCATATTTTTTTCTTTTGAATCCAAAGATATTGAAACCGAATTTGGACGTTTTGGAAAATTGACCAATGTTTGGGTGGCACAAAATCCACCCGGTTTTGCTTTCGTTGAATATGATCATATTTCCGAAGCAGATCTGGCCGTAAGCGAAATGAATGGTAAATCATTTTTAGGTTCGACCAATAAAATTCGTGTCGAACATAGCCATGGCGGTAAATCACGAAATGGACGTCGTGGTCCAGGTGGTGGACGTTTTGATGGTCCACGATCATCATTTGGTGGTGGTGGTGGACCACCACGAAATTTCAGTGGTGGGGATGGCGGTTATCGAAGCAATGGCGGTGGATACCGTCGAATGGGCCGCGATGGTGCATTTAGCGGCGGTAGTGGACGTTTCGATAATGGTGACAAACGACGCCCATTCCAATCTGGTGGCGGAGGCGGTGGTGGCCGATTTTCTTCTGGCGGTGGTCCACGTTATGGCCGAAATGATCGCCCATATGGTGGTGGTGGTGGACGAAGATCAAGATCACCAAACGGTAGAAGGTATATATAATTGCAAGCAATTTTTGAATTAATTTTTTAAATTCATATTTATTAATCTTGAATTTTTCTTTATCTTTTGCAATGCGTTTTTGTTTTGGTTTCTCTTATCTCGTATATACATACATAATTCATCCACTATCATATTGCACTTCCTTTGATCGCTCCTTTTTTTTTGACCACTCTCTACCCCTTGCTCACTTATAGGTGATTTTGACATTCCAATCTATTTGTTCCTTATATCCTACTACTACTTAAATAATAGTATATCCACAAGTGCCAAATTTATCTAAGTGAGCAAAAGAAATGAACAAAACAAAACAAAAAAAAACGACGATGATGATGATCCAATTTTGATCACCATTTGTTGTCATTTTATGATATGGAATCGATCGCAATCGCAATTGATCGCATAAGAAAAAAAATGATCGAATATTCTGCTCTCTATATCTCGTCATAGAAATGAATTGTGGTGTTTGTGTGTGTGTGTGTGTGTGGATCGCTCTCACCATTCAAATTCTCAGAATGAATCTCCACATTTATATCGCATGTGATAATATATTAACTTTTATATCGATCGCTATTTTTATGTGACACAAAAAAATATGGTCACAGTAGCATTTTCGCTTCCAATTTTTTTTTGATAAATTTTTCTAGTCTCTATATCTCTATTATATATATATATTAATTATTCCAATCAACAACAAGATAATCTCCTCTGATAATTGATAATTTTTATCTGCCTCTGCTACTATCGTATATATACCTCTATATATATCTCTTATTTTTTAGTTTTTTTGAATTTTAAAATTGCGTTTTCATCAAAACCAAACAAACAAACAAAAAAACTTTTAAATGAACCACTAACGAACAATATTCTTCTTGATTTATTCTTCTCGTCCCTCTTTTTATTATTATCGTTATTAAAAAAAAAAAATTAATAATTCCCACCGACGAATCACCATCGACGATAATGCCAAAATAAACAAACAAACAAAAAAAAAATTCTTCAAAAACTTGATAATGATCTTCAATCATCATAATATATATCATCGATTCAAATATTTGAGACAGTAACAAATATCCACCACGTGTTGAACCAATGTCGCAAGGTTTCTCGCCAGTTGGCGGTGGTTACGGAAATCCAAGGTATTTGTGATTAATAAAAAAATTAAAAACTAAAAAAAAAAAAAAAAATACAAAACTTTATCCTTCTCTACCTACAATTCTGATTCTTCCATTTTTATTATATCATACAAAAAAAAGCCCATACTGAATCTGAATCATCTCGCGCATTTAATCACCTACTACTACTACTACTATTATTCAACTAATCTTCAATTTTTAATCATCATTACCATCAACATAATCTTCATTTCGTCAAGTTGATTCAATTAATTTTACCTACTACTACTACTACTACTAATCTTGGTCTACACAAACACCACACACACTCATCATCCGTAATCAGAATCAATGGTCAAAATCATCTATAGCAAAAAAAAAAAAACGAAAATTGAAATTTTGAGAGTGTTTCAATTTTTTTTCCGTTTCATCGTTATTCATCGATCCATCGGCCAATATATTATATTTGTCGTCATTCATTTTCTGTGCATCTTTGGTATACAAAAAATTTTCTTCTTTTCCCAAAGCCAATAGATTTTGATCTAGTTTTTTTTTGCTATCATTTCGAAATAAAAAAAATAATTTTCATTCATTCATTCATCGATTTTAAAATTTTATCTTTATTTTTAATTGATAATCCTATCTATTTGGTGTGGTGGTCATCATGACATTACAAGATTTAAGAAATCAAAACAAAATGAAATATTCAAAATTGGAAAAAAAACACACACACAAAACAAAGAAAAAAAAAACAAACATTTGGGATATATTTTTGTTTTTTGTTTTCATGGACAACTGTCAATTCATCATCATCATCATCATCATCAACGGATTAACGTTAAGAATTCTTCGCGTGTTTTTGGATTATCACGAAATTCACCCAACATACAACTGGTTATTGTTTTACTGTTGATTTTTTGTACGCCACGCATTATCATACACATATGTCTGTTGTTTTTTTAAAGAAAAGAAAAGAAAAGAAAGAATTTATCCAAAATTTAGTTCTGGATCATAACTTACGCAGCTTCTATAACAACACCAACACCAGCAGGATTAATCGCTTCGGTTATTGCTGTAGCAATCTGTTTAGTTAAACGTTCCTGTACCTGTAAACGACGTGAATACATTTCCACTACACGAGCCAATTTACTAAGACCAAGAACTTTTTTATTTGGCAAATATCCAATCGATACCTATATTTAATGTTGGAGAAATAAAAAAATCAATGTTGGAATGTTCAATATCCATATATATATCCGGAACATAACATGGTAGGCCGTAATAATTGTCTTTTTTGTTGTTGCTATTGCTATCGTCATTCAATATTTGGGATACAGGATAAATTTCAGTTCAGTGATTCGATTCTTATAGAATTTATTCTTTTTCTTTCTTTTTTTTATTGATCAAAAGAATAATGAGATAAAAAAAAGTGAAATCACTCAATAGAGTATCATATAATAGAATGAACAATTGTTATCATCGTTTTATTCAATATGATGATGATGATAAAATCTTGAATAATAATTGGATGTGCTTTTCAAATTCTTTTTAGTGGGAGAGAAAGAAAAAAATAGAATAAAATTGATAGTTCTCACCATAGTAACTTCCTATTATTATTATGAATTATTATCGTGAATATAGAGTGAAAATGGCAAAAAAAAAGTGGATGGTATTTCATTTTCGCTGTTGCTATCTTTATTGATTTGTGTGTGTTGGTGGAAACAAAGCAACAACAACAACAACAACAACAGAAAAAACGGGTCATTCGACAAAAGCAAATTTCAAAAAAAAAAAAAAAGGAAAAGAGCAAATGTGAAATTTTTCGAACAAATCTATTCAATCGAATTGTCATGTCAATTGATTTTGTACAATCATGATTTTATCTTGATTGAAATCAAAAGATTTGGTCTAAATTATCGATTCTATGACTATTATTATCTGATTGTTTTCCTATTTATTCAGAGGTTCGAGGCCGTTTCAAGTTTTCATTTCTATCTGTCTAATTTTCCCAATGACTGATTTAATTTTATTTATTATTGGTATAATGTGTGTGTGTACAAGTGCACTATAGTGTATGTAATTGACAATCAATTTTTAATTGAACAGAAAAAAAAACAAATCCAATGTCCTACTTACATGTCCAATAATTGGTGTTAAATGATGTTCACATAGGGAAAACATTTCAATATCTTTGACGATGACCATTTCATCATGATCTTCATTGAATATGGCATCATTTAGTATATCTAGAAAATACAAAATACAGAAATCAAAAAATCAAAAATCAAAATTTGAAAGACAGACAAACTTAAAACTTGCCCTCAAGTTTTAAATTATAGCCACATGTATAATAACGAAATGCTTTTGCTGCACGTTCAGGTGTTTTATACAATCCTTGTCGTTTGGTTGGATCTTCACCAATATCCAAAAGAATATTATGATAATGTTGTGATAGCCGATCAACAATCAATTCACGATCTTCATTTCCTTTTGACATGTATTCATCATATTCTTCAGAATCATATCTAGTTGCCGGATTTTTAAGTCGATATGGTTGTCGTTTTTGTGGTGATGATAAAGCCGTGGTGGTGGTTGTGGCCACAATCATATCATTGTTGTAGTTGTTGTTGCCAATTTTGACCGGTGTGTTGGTGGTGGTCGAATTAGAATTTGTTTGTGACATTTTTTTTTCAAAAAAAAAAAAACTTTACCTGCACGAAAAAAAATTAGATTAATCGAATGGAATGTATGGAATGTGTCGAAAAAAAACACGAATACTTAGGGTAATGTGTAGATGTAAATTGTAAAAAAAAAATCGAATATCATGAAACTTTCGAAACTCGTTTGATTCTCTTTGTTTAAAATACTGATGATGATGATCATTCAGCAACAACAAAAACGTAAATGATGAATATCGGCAATCCACACAAACAATTTATTATATGGCCATTTTTCGTTTCTGGAAATGTCGTCTTCTTCTTCTTCTTTTTCGTTTATCTGATCGATCGTTTTTTTGTTCGTACTTTTTATTTATCATCGATATCATCAGCATCTCTACCATATCATCATCATCATCATACAACAATGTAACGGACGAAGAATGACGCAGAAGCAACGAAAAAAAAAGAAGGTGGACATTTTACCATTTCAAAATATTTTAACAACAATAAATGGTGAGAGATGGATGGATGAATCACATGCTCATAACGTGAACACAAAAATGTTCATCTTTATGATTCATCAGCAGAGATTTTTTTTTTTATTACAAACTTTTTCCCTTCTGTTCTGTTCTCACGTGAACTTTTTTCTCAACAACAGGTATATGATTGATTTTTTTTTACATTTCAAATTGGTCATCATCATATCTTATCATCATTACATATCATCATCAATTTTTTAAAACAGGATGATGGATGGATGGATGGATCAAATCGATAAAAAAACACGAAATTTTATCATATACACTAAAAGCATTTTATACTGTGGCCAATAGATGGCGCCAATTGAATTGATATGATTCACACATGATAATTTTTGGAAAAATTTTTATTTTTTGCATATTTTTTTTTTACAAATCACGAATTATAAACATCAGAAGATATAAATTAAAAATGATGATGATTGATGAAAACAAAGCTTTTTTCCATTTATTTATTATTAGATTCAGCCAAATGTAGTTTCATTTGTAGTTGCAAATTTTCCCAAGTCAAATCTTTGGCTTTGGCTTTCCAGAATTCAGTTTCCAAAGTAGAATTTTCTTCCATTGTTGTATTGGTTGTATTGATTAATTCAAGATAAATTTTAATAATATCACCCAGATTGGCACGAGTACGACAAATTGGACAATATTTAGTCGATCTTGAATCATCTAACCATTGTTCAATACATTTTTTACCAAAAATATGACCACAAGGTAAACATACAATATCATGTTCATTATTATCATTCTGTTGATTCTGACGAAATTTTTCCAAACAAATTGAACACGTATTCTTCACAGGCAAATATTTGATATCTGTTTGTGTTTGTTGATTTTTAGAAGAATCCTCATTAATAACATTATTAGATCCATGATTATTAACGATATTTGATGATTGATTGGAATTATCAATTGAAGAAAAAGAAAAATGATGCATCCGTGATGCATCCATTCCATCACTCTGATTATCATCATCATCGTCATCAACAGCGTAAAAAAAAGTATCTTCTTGTTCTACTTCACTTGAATTTTGTTCAACATTGTCATCGATTTCAGTTGATTCATCAGTTGATTCATCTGAATCACCATAACCGTAATGGTCTTCTTCTTGTTCTTCATCATTGTTGTTGTCGTCATCATTAAAAATTGTTTCCAAATCATCAGATGATTCGTGATTGTTTTCAGAATCATAATTGCAAAAAGGGCTACTATAAATATAATGACCCCAATCAAAATCATTATCAGAGTTTAAAGAATCATGATAATCAGACGAATCTTCGAAATCAGACATTTTACAAAGAAAATTTGTTTTCTTTTAAATTATAAAAAAAACAAATTGAGCACTTTTGTTCCGGACCTCGAATGATGCAACTTTTAGTGTGATATATTTCTAGAAATATTTTTTTCAATTTGATGAATTGCTTTTTCCATTAAAGTTTCTTGTTAAATTTCGAATTTTTTGTTTTTGTTTTTGTAAAATTTTCTTGCTCTTGATGATATATATGTTAAGATCATGTGGTTTTCTCACAACTTTGTCCAACAAAAACATCAACAATATTAATGGTAAGAAGAATCAAACAATTTATTCCATTTTTATTTTTTTAATAATTCATTTTCTTCCAATTTTACCAAGGTTTTACGAACATCATGAATCATTGCATTGATCATTGAATTGATTCTGTCGTATTTGTCCATGATGACAATTTATTTTGATTTTTTGTCTTTTTTTTGTATATTAACAAAATGAGAACAACAGGAAATGATATCTCAATACCACCACCACCACCACCACCAATCCATTCAAACCAATCAATAAAATGAAATGGAAAGAAAAATTTAGGTCGATATTCGAGTAAAAAATGAAGAAATCAAAAAAAAAAAAAAAAAATTTCTCATCATCATCTGATCCCAATTGAATGAATGGATGGATGTTCAAGCTTCTCTAATGATGATCATGTCTATCGAATGATAAATGACAATTTCAATTGGTTTTAATTGAAAAAAAAATTCAATAGTCTAGCCTTGACGATGATGATTGCATATATGGAACATTTTATGATTATAAATGAAAAAGATTTAAAGATTCACATTCCATTCATCCCATTGTATTTAAATGTAAATTTAAGTTTCATCATCATCATCATCATCATGTTTTCCTTGTAAGTAAATAGTGAATTTCTGATTTTGGATTATTCATAAATCATAAATCCATTTTTTTTTTTTTTTTTGACTTTGAACTTGATTTTTTTCTCTCTCTCTTTCGCTTGTTCGATTTTTTCCGATTCTAATTTATATTTTATTAATAATAATGTTATCAATCATCGTTTATATATATCAAATGATGACAATGTGGATGTATTTTATAAAATTGATTTTCTATCTTGTGTAATTTCATTGATTTCGGGTTTTTTTTACTTTCTTTTTCTTACAGGCTACTACTACTATTGCTGCTGCTATAAACCAACACAAACACTGTTTGAATATCGTTCGTTTACATTATTGATCATCATCATATACCTTTGCAATCATTATTATTATCATCATCATCATCATCGTTGACATATGACAAATGTTGATCACATTTTTTTTTTTTTTTTTTTTTTTGGTACATTAATTTTCAAGAAAAAAAATGTTTCGATCAAAATAGGATCAATCCATTTGAAATGAAAATAGAGAAAAATATGGCAGCACTACTGTTTAATTGGCTGGATCGATTAAAATGAATGAATGGTTGATTGATATTGACTATAATCGATTCATTTTATAATAATAATCGGGTCGATCAAACATAAATAGAAAGAGAGAAAAAAAATCGATTCAAAGATAAAAAGTAGAAAAAAAAGAACAGAGACAGAGAAATCATGATCGATTTTTCTGTTCTCTTTGGTTCGTTTGGTGGCAATCATCATCATCATCATTTATAATCATCGTATGGAGAAACAGATGAATAAATATTTGAAACAAAAACGTCAGTCATTTGATTTTTGTGTGCCTCAAAAAAAAAAAAAAAAAAAAAAAAATGGGCCATAAACAACAACAACAACAAAATAATAATTTCGTTATCACAACAACAATACAGTAACAATTTGTGCCCAAAAAAAAAGAAAAAAAAATTTCATATATATCATTTTAATCGTGAAAATCATCTCCAAAACATCATCATCATAATAATAAACATTTCGATTCGATTACTGGCTTTTTGGTTTTTTTTATTCGCTTCCAAAAAAATGTACAATGTAACATGGAAAATGGAAATTTAAAGTTTCCATCATGATGTAATGGATCCATTTTTATTTGATTAAATATTGATAACAACATGTTCAAGTTTTTAACCTTGAATGAATTCAAGGTATACCTACTACTACTAGTAGTAGTAGTGTGTATAGTTCATCTGGAAATTGATCCATATTTTTTTTTTGTTTTGACTTTCATTGCTACTCAATTATTCATCAGATAATGGTTCCCGATAATTTTCTTTTTGTTTGAGAAATTTTTTTTGTTCACCGTACAGGTGGAAACCGCGTCATAATCATTGAAATTCTGCCATTCTTGCGTGTGTGTGTGTGTGTGTGTGTGAAAGCAATAAAATTTGCATACAAAATGGTGAATAAAATTTTAGAAAGGCAAAAAAAAACCAGAAATTTTTTTTCTCTCTCGAGAAAACACCGCTCAAAGCTATTTTTGGTGGAAAAAAAAAAAAAAATTCCGGTCTTTAGCCAAAAACCAGAATTTATTTTCTTTGTTTTGTTGTTGTTGTTGTTTACACCAGCAATTGATGTATTGTGTGTGAGAATTTTCTGTTTTATGACGACATTTAATTAGAAGCAACGAACAAAAAAATGAAATTCATATGAACAAGAATAATAAAGAATAGTCAGTCATGTAATGAATTTTTTGTTTTGTTTTTTTTTCTGGTTTGATTATCACGTCGCAGAAAAAAAAGAAATGTTCCATTCTATAACGAATGATATTCTCTACTGGGAAAATGAAAACGGGAAAATTCCATCAATTTTTTTTTTTTTTTGACCATCAAATATTACAACTTAATCAAAATGTTTTCCATTTTCAGGATTTATTCATTGAACCGTTCACTACATGATGATACACATAGTCATTGTATGAAAAATGGCTCAAATGATCCATTGAAACACATGTATATATATGATATATGTGTGAAAACACAGCATCCACTAAAATGAAAAAAAAAAAAATTTGGAGAAAAACCACAAAAACAACCTATGTGAATGTTTTTTTTTTTTTATAAATAAAGAAGTAACGGTATATTTTATTTTATTCCTATCTTGTCTTGTCTTGTTTATTAATGTATCCATAGAATATCTTCATGAATGATGATGACGAAAATAGTATTTTTTTTTCTACACCAAAAAAAACCATCAAATGTAGATGTAATCCACAATGTAGATGTAATGCAATGAATTTTTTTTCCAGTGTCGACACACCTCTTTTGGTCACACATATATACTACATCTACATTGTTGAATTGGGTTTTTAATTTCTGGTATAATAGATTCAACTACTACTACATTGATGGATGAGTATTTGAATCGGCGCGATTTTTTTTTTTTTTGCTATTCAGATCGATGTCTTGTTCTCGTTGTGTGTGTGTGTGTGGATCTTTTTTTTTCTTCATTGGATTCAATACCATGAAAACAGTGTGTGTGATGACGACCAGACCATTTGTTCTGGTTTTTTGTTAGACAAGTTTGATATAAAAACCTAATGCCATTGCCAGAAGAAAAAGAAAAACATGTTGACAACAACAACAATAACAACCACAACAACAACAACAACAAACAACAACAAGACTACTTGAATTCAAACGACGATGACTTGTTAAATGATCAAAGATTTTGATGATCAAATGTGATGCATGTGATTTTTTTTTGTCGGCTGATGGTGATGATGATGATGATTAAATCAAATGGATTCTAAATTCAATTCTCTGTCCAGTGCGATATTTTTTTTTGTTTGTTTGTTTTTCTGAATTCCGTATTCCATTCATTAGTTTATAGTGTGTGTGTGTGTGTTTGATATATGTAAAATTTTCATCTTAAAAATTCAACTTTAAAAAGGAAAAAAAAATCCAAAAACTTTCATGTTCTCAAATGTTGATTTGGATTTTTTTCATATCCAGTGTATTATCATTAATCACATCAAGAAGAAATTTTTTTTTTTTTGGTGATTGTGAATCGAATCAATAATTTATTCATCCTGTAAAGATCAAAGACACATTATCAACATCATTGCTTCAAAAACATTATAATATATTTCACGTGCTTGTCATGGATTGAATTTGAACAAAAAAATGAAATGAAGCACTAACTATTGATTGTGTGTGTGTGTGCGTAGGGGTAAGTGGTAAATTTCCATTATTGTGTGCATGTGTGTGTGTGATTTAAACACACACACACTGACACTTGAATACTATTTGAATGTCAATATCATCAATCATTTGTCGTGGGGGGAAAAAAACAACCTACATCCAATGAATGAATGAATGAATAAATAAAGGAGAAAATGAACAACAAAAAAAAGTTCCATAATGGTTGAACAATACAAAAAAAAAAAAAAAAACCTCCCGGCAATGATTTTCATTGCACTATTCATTGATCATTGATTATGATGATCATGATGATGATCATTATCATCGTAGTAAATGTGAATGAATGTTGTTTGTGAGTACAAATTGAATAGTGATGAAATCATATAATCAACAAACATGTACACGAACGAACGAACGAACCAACGATGATGATGATGATGATGACATTTTAATTCAATGATTCATTTATGATATATACATGACTTGTTTATTCAATGTTTCGATATATGAATCCAAAAAATTCTTTTGATTATTAAAACAATAATATATTAGAATCGAGAGAAAAGATAACAAATGTTTCATTGCCAGTTTTTTTTCTATACAGAATTTCACTTGTAATGATTCTATTTTCTCCATCGTCATCATTATAGAATCAAGTTTAATTCTGACGTTAATGTTTGTTTGTTTGTTTGTTTATTTTTGTTCACCATCACATTATTCTATAATTCATTAATGATTCTTTTATGATTCGTTTAAAAAGTTTCTCTTCTCCCCCCACACCCAAACTTTAACTTTGTTTTCTTCTTTATCAAAGAAAATAAATGGGGCAGGATTTCCTTGTTTTTTTTCTGTTGTTGTTGTTGTTGTTCATTTTCCATTATATTCTCTTAAATCTCTGAGATTTATTTTCGTTTCCCATTCACAATACACACACACACGCATACACGGATGATTTTTCACTATTTATGTTCTTCCTGGAAATTCTCAATGTCATTTTCTCAGTATGTGTCTGTTTTATATACATGTGTAGCTGCTGTATACCAACCAGCTAATCCATCCATTCATATACTAAATGGATGAAATTGAAAAACAACAACAAGAAACAAATGAAAAAATCACTAATCTTTGAACTTTTATTTTTCCTCCCCATTCCAATTAGTAGTAGTCAAATTCATCATCATATAGTAAATGTTGAGATGGCTGATTGATTAGTTTGATTGACAGTGTGTGTGTGTGTGTGTGTGTGTGTGAATATGTGCCCAGTTAATTTAGATTAATGAAAAAAAATGACGAAAGAACAAACAAACAAACAGAGAGAGAGAAAAAATTTTTTGATGACTTTGAATATTTGACATTTATCGTTATCAATTTTTTTTCTTCATTTACATAAATATAAATCTAAATATAATCAGTCATCAGTCATTTCAATTTCACACATCGATCAATCAATCAATCAATCATGAAATCACGAAACATGTGCTAAAATTTTGATTTTCGTTTTATTTTTCGTTTTATTTTAGATTTTTTTTCCTTTTTTTTTTTGGTTTAGTTTTTTTTTGACGAAACTTGAATTATTTTTCTTGATTCATTGATACATTCATTATCGACAAACGAATTGAGTTTCCAGAGAAAAAAAAATGACGAACGATAAAACAGATGCGGTCCATGTAAATGGAACCACCGCTCACTATACAACGAATGGGCAGCTTGATCCAACGACAATGACAACACCATCATCTTCATCATCATCATCATCAGCGTCAGCATCAGCATCAGCATCAGCATCGACAATTACATCACCAATGACGAATACAACAACAACAATGACAACAGATTCACAATCAAAAACATTAATAATACAGAATGGAAAATCAAATTCAATTCCATCATCATCATCATCATCGAAAATTGAATCGTCATTACCAGAAAATTATCGTCCACGTGAACAATGGGCAAATAAATTGGAATTTGTATTCGCTTGTATGGCTTATGCAATCGGTCTAGGAAATGTATGGCGTTTTCCATATCTATGCTATAAAAATGGGGGTGGTAAGTTTTATTCTGTCTATTATTAAACATACGACGTCACACCATAATACGTTATATTTATCTGAATGTAACAAAAAAAAATGATGTGTAAATTCTGTACGTGTTGTTTTTTGTTTACGAATCAAAGTTGTTGTTGTCATGGTTGTTGTAATGAATATAGGAATTCAAACGAAAGAAGAAAATACCACTAGAATTTTGTAGAATTGACCTAGAAAAAAAATTACACTTTTTTTTTCTAGGCCATTATTCCTTACGTAAATGTAAAAAAAATTTGCGAAATTTTCATTTGCTCTTTTTTTCTGGATTTATTTCATGAATAATTCATGCCATTTGATCTGGATTCTTGTGTGTGTGTGTGTGTGTGAGTGAGTGTTTATTTGATCAATGAAAATTTTTAAATCAAAATTCTTGAAAAAAAAAGATTGTTTGGCGTGTGAAATTAAAATTTTCAATTTTTTTTTGTTAGTGTACACATGTGTCTGTAATTTATTTTTTTATTGGCAGAAATCGTGACCCAGAAATGAAAATTTATCGTCAATCTAGAATTGATTGAAAATTGATTTGAATTTCATTTTTCCATGGTTCCATCTGTCGTTTTTGATTGTAATTAATATACGATTTTTTTTCCATTTGTCCAGGTGCATTTTTCATTCCATATTTCATTTTTCTTGTATTTGGCGCTGCACCGATTCTTTTTCTTGAAGTAGCCATTGGTCAATATTTTCGTCAAGGTGGTATTACTGTATGGCGTGAAATTTGTCCATTGTTTCGTGGCATTGGTTTCGGCACTATTACCATATCGTTTATATTGAATTGTTATTATGTTGTCGTTATTGCATGGGCATTACTTTATCTTTATTATTCATTACGTGGTGATCTATTATGGGCTAGCTGTAATAATGAATGGAATACTGATCGATGTTGGACACAATCAATGAATACTACGGCACGAAATGATTCCGTCAATTCTGTGATTGAATTTTGGGAACATAAAATATTACAAATAAGTCCCGGTATTGATCAACCAAATGGTTTTCAATGGGAATTAGTATTGACACTGGCAATTGCTTGGATTTTATGTTTCTTTTCCATATGGAAAGGTGTTAAATCCACTGGCAAAGCTGTTTATGTGACTGCTGTATTTCCATATGTGGTCATTACGGCATTATTTATACGTGGCATTACATTACCAGGCGCTATTGAAGGAATCAAATTTTATCTGTATCCAGATTTTTCACGTCTTAGTGATTCACAGGTATGGATGGATGCTGGTACACAGATTTTTTTCTCCTATGCTATTGCGCTTGGTTGTATGGTTGCATTGGGCAGTTACAATACTTTTAACAATAATTTCTATCAGTAAGTTTCGTAATCATCATTTTTGTTTTCATTCACTTGAAATTAATCCTTTCTTTTTCTTTCATTGTAGTCAATTATTGTTTTTAACTGGTGCAAATTCCGGTACATCTGTCTATTCTGGTTTTGTCATATTCTCCATTTTGGGTTATATGGCACATGAACAACAATTGAGTATTGCCGATGTTGCTGAATCTGGACCCGGTTTAGCGTTTATCGCTTATCCACGTGCTGTTGCAATGATGCCTGGATCATCATTTTGGGCCGTAATGTTTTTCATTATGATCTTATTATTGGGATTAGGTTCACAATTTGTTGGTGTTGAAGGTTTCGTAACGGCTATGGTGGATTTATTTCCACAATATTTACGTATTGGTAAACGTCGTGAATGGTTTATATTTGGTGTTTGTATTGTTAGCTTTTTGATCGGTTTATCCATGGTCACTAGGGTAAGTTACTGAGAAAAAAAACGAATTGAAAAATTAAAAATTTTTTTTCTCCAATTCATCATAGGGTGGAATGTATGTTTTTCAATTATTCGATTATTATGGTGCAAGTGGAATGTGTCTGCTTTGGTATTGTTTCTTTCAAGCCATTGTCATTGGATGGATTTACAGTTAAGTGAAAAATTGAACATGACAAATTCATTCTTATTTGTGGAATTTTTCTGTTTCATTTGACTAATGTAGAAGCCGAAAATATGTATGATAATATTGAAAAAATGATTGGTTTTCGTATACCGAAATTTTTCCATTATTGTTGGAAATACATTACACCCACTGTTATCGGTGGTACGTTTGCATTCTATTTGATTACATATAAATCAATCAAGTAAGTTTGAAACGTTGAAATGTTGAATTTGGCCATTTATTTTTCACATAATCAAAAAAATAACCATACAGATATAACGGTACATATGAATATCCATGGTGGGGTATTGTATTCGGTTGGATGTTGGCAATGTCATCCATTATGCAATTGCCGATTTCAATGCTGTATTTTTGGTTCACGGCACCAAATATACCAAAAGTGAGTAATAATAGTACATGACAGGATTCCATTCTCATTATCTGAAACTTTTTTTTTATTCTACTGCAAACAAACGAAAAAAAAATGCAGAAATGGACATATTTGACCACTGGAAACAAGAATCTTGTTCATGCAACACCGCATAAAAATTTCAACAACAAAAATGATAACAACAACAACAACAACGTGAATGGAAAAATCAAAGATATTGAAATTGGAACATAGAAAAAAAAACTCAACGATCAATTTGTTTTTGCAAATCAATTACGATGCAATTTGAATATTTTTTTTCCTGCTCATCAAGTTTGAAATAAAAAGAATATTCTCCGTGATAAATTGTTTTCTCAAGACACACACACACACAGACAGACAGATATAACACTAAACCAAATCAAATCAAATCGTGTACAAAATTATTTTTCGAAGAAGATCATTTCATCTGTTTTTTTTTTTGCTCATTCATTCAAGAATTGTGAAGAGAGAAAAAAAATCGTGATCATAAATTATTGTGTCTGTGTCGGTGTGTGTAAGATGATTGACACTATAGTTGACAACAACAACAACAAAAAAATATCGTTATCATTATATTCCGAACAGTGTATTGACCTCAAAATATGACTATCATGAATTTCTATCTATCTATCTATCCAATTATTAATCATATGCATTTTTTTTTATTTTCTTTTATTTACGATTAGATATTGTTATTGTCGTGTGTGTGTGTGAATCCTCAACAACAACAATACAGTGAACCCAGTGATATTTTTCACATTCAATTCAATTTTTTTTTTGGTTTTATTTCATTCATTTAGCTATTCATGAATTCACTGATGACCAAACCCCACCCCCACCATCACCACCACCACCCACAACTAAACTAAATTGAAATTAATCCCAAAATCAAATGAAAAATTGTGTGTTCATTCAATATTTGTCCACAAACAAAAAAAAAACAAAAATGTCCAAAAAAATTACTGCGATTTGATTGTTGTTTTTTTTTGTTTTTGCATAATGTTTTCATCTTTATTTTTATTATTCAGATTCATTATCAATTGTCTTTGACATGATTGTTGATTATTAACTTTAAAAAAAATTGACAAATAATAATAATAAAAAAATTTTTAAATTTAAAAAAAAATCAAATAATTAAATGAACGAAACTATCGATAGTTTGTCAACATTTTTTTTCGGCTGCTATGTGTGTGGGTAGTAGCAGTAGTAGTAGTAGTAGTGGTGTTGATATGGTCACAATCAAATTGTTGCAATTCTGAATTCGATATGTATCTTTGTAAATGTATACAACAGCAAGATAGATGTATGTAGTAGTAGTAGTAGTAGTGCCATTATGTACATTGGGTTCAAATATATTTTTCAACCACTACTACTGCTGGTCATTTTGGGATTATAACAACGCTGTTGCTGATGCCTGTTTTTTTTGTGTACATGTATTGTAATGGTATTTGGTGGTGGTAGGTGTTGATTGTCGCCGTCTTCCATCATTGCCATGGCATGGAGAGCATATTAATATTCACACACAAAACAGCCAAAAAAGCAAAAGAAAAAACACCAGCCAACCAACCAACCAACCATCAACCAATTCATCGACCAAAAACAAAGAAGTCCAAATTTCTGGTAATCTGGTTCATCATCGTCATCATCATCATCATCAGAAAAAAAATCATGCACCAGAATAAAAAAAATTATAATTTTTTTCAATTTTTACAAAAGTTAAAAATTTAATTATGTGATTTTTTTGTGTGTATGTATGTGAGTGTGTGTAAAGTTTGTTTTTACCAAATTTTTGGTGTTTTGTTGTTGTTTTGTTTTTTTTTTGTTGATCTCAAAAAAAAAAAAAAATTCCAACCACTTTTTTTTCGTATTTCTTGCATTTTTATTATTACACAACTTTTATTTTCATTTTTTTTGCGCATTGCAAGCAACAATTTTTTTTTGTTCGTTTTACATCTTTTCAATTCATTCATTTATTGATTCTTTTTTTTCACCATTTTTACAACAAAAACAACAACAACAAAAATCGAACGAAAATTCTGCACCAATTTTTTCTTGATTATTGATTGACTATAAATGACATTCAATTGTCAATGTTTATATATTTCAATTGGAAAAAAATTATATATGGCCTTTAATCTTGGAACAAATTCTGTGTGTTGTGTTGTTGAAAACATTTTTTTTTTTTGATTAAAATGAAAAATAATCATGTGTAAGGTATGTCAATTTTTATTTTTTTTTTTTCATTTACAATTTTTTCGATTCTTTATTAGTTTTTTTCTCTGGTGGTGGTGGTGGGTATTTGATTCTTCCAAAACATACATACACATACACACACACGTACATAAAGTTGCACTTAATAATAATAATGATGATGATGATCAGCAAAAGAAATGACTATGAGAAAATAGAATACATTAACCATGGTTTCACCACTCTCTCTCTTTTTTTTTTCATAATATGTGATTATAATCTAGTTTCAACCGCTCGATAGGTTTTTTTTTTTTTTTTTCTTTTGGTTGGTATCCATGTGGTGTGTTGATGTGTGTATATATCAATGATGGTGATGCAAATCAAATTATTTCATTTCAAAACTCTAAACGATGGCAATAATACAAACAAAAGTCATTCAATTGGCTACAATTGGTTGAATCATAAGGTGGAAAATAAATTTGCGATGAATCATCATCATCATCAACAACATCAACATCAGTAATGATGAATTTTCAATGAAAGAAAGAAAAGAAAAACCAATCCATTTTCTCTTGATATTTAGTCATTCTATTTTTCTTTCTGGTTATTGGATGTCTCACTTTCAATGTTGTTGTCGCTGTTGTTGTTGTTGTTGTTGATGTTTGGCTTATTCCAAATTACCAGAAAAAAAAACGAGAGAAATTTTTTTTTTTGGGTCTGAGCAGATTTTTTTTTTTGTTTTTGTTTTGTTTTCTCTTTTGCCTTTTAATTTTCGAGTGTGGCGTCATAATACGAATTTATATATATATATCGATTTAAAAAAAATAAAATGGCAATTTTTTTTACGAAATTAAGAGAGTGTGAGAGTGGAAAGTGAAAGTAAAATATCAAGCAATTGGTTCGAATGATTGTGGTGAGATATAAATTGATTGATGATTGAAAGCACAAAAATTTATTTTATTTTTGCTGTAACAAGCGAAAAATAAAGTGAAATGGATGGATTTTTTTTTCTCATCCAAATAATGCACCACAATTGTACCATTGAGATCAAGTTGAATTTTTTGTTTGTTTGTTTGTTTGTTTGTTTTTTTTCTGGTTTACTCTGGTGTGGGTGTTTTTTATTTTTGTTCAACAACAACAACAACAGCAACAGTTGCAGTAGTAGTTGTTGTTGTTGCAATTGATCTTGTTTTTTTTTTTTTGGTGTTTTTTTCTGGTATATTCATTGGTTGAAACCAAATTAAATGTTTGTCATGATTATTGAATCGGATACACGGCCAAGACCGGATTTGTGAACAGAATCGAATAGAAAAATTCGTATAGTCATCACACACACACACACACACACGAATACACCAGGTAGATAGATGACAAATTGACAATGATAACGATGATGAGAAATGAATGATTAAAAAAAAAAAAATGTTTATTAATAGCCATTCTAGTTACTAAAAATAACATTTTGTTTTCTATTTTTATACAGTTTATTATAGGATTATATATATCCGTTCAAATGAATCACAATCACCGAATAATCATCATCATCCGCAACAACGTATTTATTTGGAAAACAATTTTCGATGCATTTATTGAATTGACAATGAAAATGACGAATGATGATGATCAAATATAAAAAGAAGATTCAAATTTGTATATGATTCTAATGTGTAAATTATATAACACAATCAAGATAATTCAGATACACAGACGCAGAACGATTCAGAGTCCTCGTGGAAACTTTATTTTGTGCCATAATTTTTTAAAACACAGAGAAACGTACGTTTTCGAATATACGAACAATAAAAGAAAAAAAAATAGTGCGGTTACAATTCAAATGAAAACAAAACAACAAGTGGCCAATCGATAATTCAACATATAATAGCAACAACAGATGCAAACGAAAAAAGAAGAAGAAGAAGAAGACCAACCAATATACATGGTGAAATCACCTCAGCGGCGGTCCATTATATCAATTTAATTGAAGAAATTTTTTTTTTAAAAATCAAAACAATTATAAACGAAAAATGTATACAATAGGACGTGATAATATTGATGTTTATGATTTTAAATCTGAAGAAAATCTACGAAAATGGCGTGGATTTTTCATTCCAACTTTATTACAGGTATGTGTGTGTTGATTACTTTTCCATTTTAATCATCAATAATTTTCAATTTGTTATTAGATTCAAAAAATCACACATCCAACGTTGATTGTTAAAACAGATGGTTTGCAATATGTAGAATCATTATTATTGAAATTATTAGGAGCAATAATGGCTACAAATAGTACGGCAGGCGCTGGTAGTGCATCATTGATGACATTACATACAATCAGTGATTTTGAAGATCGTATTCGACGTCTAATACCGGATCCATTGAAAACAAATTCATTGAAAAAAGCAAAAGAAATTCTTTCTGCATTGCGTAATAGTAAAAGAAGCAAAGCGAATATCATATTTCATGGCAATGTGGATCGTTCACCATTGAAAACACCTGTGGATAAATTTCATCATATGCTACAAAAAGATGTTCTTGGTCATAAAACCGATATCCAGGTTTCACAATATTTATTGGCTGTATTGGAATTTATTGCTACCGATATACTACAATTGGCCGGACATTATGTACGTAATATGATTCATACGGAAATCACTAGCCAAGACATTCATGCTACGATGTGTGCCGATAAAGTTTTAATGGAAATTTTCTATAAAGACGAAGAAGAAGAAGATGATGATGGACCACCATTATCGGCCAATTGTTATTATAGTCAATCATTTTTTGATGCAGATTTTGGTGATAATGGTGGCGGTGAATATGGTAATGTTGGCGGCAATCATCATCACCATCATCATCATACCACAATCACATATTCAGAAGCGGTACATGAATTCATACAAGAAGAAAGACAATTTATACGTGAATTATCATTGATAATAAAAGTTTTTCGTGATCCAATGACCACCGTTCTTTCCGATGATGATCTCCAGCGAATATTTGTCAATATTGATGATATTTATGAATTTGCTATCAAATTTTTAAGTCTCCTAGAAGATGCTGTTGAAGTGGCCGATGAAGATGATTGTCCAGCAATTGGTTCATGTTTTATTGAAATTGCCGAAGATGAAGAGATGGATGTCTTTCATAAATATGCTCAAAATGTATGTAAATGGTAAATGAAGAAATTTCAATTTTTTCTATTCCTTTTTTTTCTCATTTTTCATAGGTTATGAATTTTTCATTTCGCGACCATTTATACACTGTTCTTTCACAACATTCCCTTCAAAGCCGTATAAGTGAAATATTCTCATCAAGATATAATGCAGCAGCCAATGGAATGATGGCTGCTATAAAATATGTTTTACCACGGCTACTACTATTGCCTGTATATCATTGTTTTTCGTATTTCAAAGCAATCGAAAAATTAAGAGAATTAACACCATTGGTTAGTGATCGTGAAAATTATGAACAAGCCGATTCTTCATTACAATCATTGAGAAATGTGTTGGAAAAAGAAAAAAAATTAAATAAATTTGGTGATGGTTATTTTCTACGATTATATGGCCGTACACATAGGGCAACAGCATTGGCAAAAATGAAAGAAATTCAATCATCAATCGATAATTGGAATGGAAAAGATATTTGGCAATCATGTAATGAATTCATACGTGAAGGTCTACTGTATAAAGTATCCAATCCGGGTAAATCAATTGGACAATTTTCAAAATCTGAACGTCGAGCTTTTCTATTTGATAGTCTATTGGTACTATGTAAACATTACACTAAACGTATGGTGCCAGGTCGTGGTGATAATTCACATCTGGAATGTCGATTTAAAGAACGTTTTTACATACGAAACATTGAAATAATTGAACGTGATGAACTATATGTACCATCAAATTTTTCTCTATTTTCCAATCATTTCATTGGCCATTCGGCTGATAGTCAACAACAAAATTCAATTCTGGAACAACAACACCAATCATTATCATCAAGTGTGTCGAATATAAGCAATCATATCGCCAGTGATAATTCAAATACAATACATGCATTCGAAATATCACAAACGAATCAAAATCAATCAATAGTATTGATGGCAAAAACAGTGGAAGAAAATGATAGCTGGATGTCTCAGCTGATTCTATTGAATATGCGTTCAATGTTGGAACGAACATTGGATGCCAAATTATTGGAAGAGGCAAAAAAACATCCACTGTTATTACCACATGCATCGGTATATCGTTTTGCAATCGAAGATATGGATACAAACATTATATTTGAAGAAAATAAATCCAATCGTAATGTACCGCTAATCAAAGGCGCCACATTATTGAAATTAGTCGAAAGACTTACCTATCATAAATATGGTGATCCGAATTTAGTACGAATTTTTCTCACAACTTATCGTTCGTTTTGTACACCAATTGAATTGTTTAAATTGTTGATTGAACGTTTCGAGATACCTGAACCAGATTTTCGTTCATGTATGCAAGCTATGTATTATGCAAATGAAGAATTATCATCACCAACAAGTGTAGCACCACCTGCACAAGAATTATTATTGGATTCAAATGAAATGATGGCATCAGATCAGACAATACATTCTTCAACCGGAACATTTGTTGTGAATAATAATAATACATCATCGTCAGGTCCAACTAGTCCAACTTCTCTAAACAATAATAATCAACAACAACAACAACAGCAGCAGCAATTACCACCAACACCATCAGATTTTAGTAAATTTTTTGATGAACAAGATGAACAATGTCAACAAGATTATCGTGAAATGTTAAAACGATTCCGGAAAGAATACGCTCAACCGGTGCAATTTCGTGTATTGAATGTTCTTCGACATTGGATCGATAAACATTGGTATGATTTTGAACGTGAAAGTCAGCTGTTGGATATGTTGAATGAATTTGTGAATGAAAAATTGGCTAAATCACATACAAAAGTGGCCAAATGGTGTCATCATATACGTAGTGTTGTGGATAGGAAAAAATCACAAAATGTTGCCGCACAATTTGATGCATTATCCATCATTAATGGACCAATTGGACGGCCATTGTCGAGCATTACGAAAATCAATGATGGTCCAGAAGAATTTGATCTTTTAGCGGTATGTTGATGATTTGATTGAAAAGATTTTTTTTCAATATTAAATTTCAATTTTTTTTTGTTTAGTATTCACCTGGAGCTATTGCTGCACATTTGACTTTATTTGAATTTGATCTATATCGTGCCGTACAACCATATGAATTTATTGGTATGGATGATCAATCATTGGTATGGACGAAAAAGGATAAACAAAAAACATCGCCTAATCTGTTGAAAATGATTCGTCATTATACAATTGTATGTTTTCGTGTTTTTTCCATTTTTTGCGATCTAATTGATGAGGTTTTGTTGTCTGTAGATTTGTTATTATTTTGAAAAATGTATTGTTGAAGCAGAAAATTTCGAAGAACGTGTTGCAATTGTCACTAGAATCGTTGAAATAATGAGCCGTTTAATGCAATATAATAATTTTAATGGTGTATTCGAAATTGTTGGCGCTCTGGATTCGGCACCAATTCATCGGCTAGAGCATACTTTATCACAGATTGAACGTAATAGTAAATTGAAAAAAGCATTGGAAGAAGCTAAAGATCTTATGGATAATCATTTTAAAAAGTAAGTCAATTTTTTTTTTCGTTTTAATATTCAATGAGCAATTGATAATTGTTTTGATTTTTTTTTAGATATAAAGAGAAATTGTTTTCAATCGATCCACCATGTGTTCCATTTTTGGGTAATTTTCTTACCAATATTGTACATTTGGAAGTTGGAAATCCTGAATATCTTTCTCCTCCGAATTCTGATTCTGGTTGTCATCATCATCATAATATTTTAAGTCATCATCAACAGATTAATGATTCATCATTGTCCAATGCTCAACAACAGACAAACACTAACGCACAATCATCATCAACATCGACAATGAAACTTGAAGCTGATGGCGCTGCAGCCACTTCTAAATTGATTAATTTTCAAAAGAAACGTCGTGTTTATGAAACAATTTCGTTGATACAACAATATCAGAATGAACCATACAATTCACAATCACAGAAAACGACAAAAAAGATTAATCTTAGTAAATTTAATCCAGAAATTTCAGTATGTTGTCGATTTTTTATGTTTTTTTCTGTTTGATTAATTAATTTTTTTTCTACCATTTTTTTCAGAATTTTTTCGAAAATTTAGATCATATTGTCTATGATGATGAGGAAGAGAAACAATTCAATAATTATGTTTATAACAAATCATTGGAAATTGAACCAAGAGGATGTAAACAGCCACCAAAATTTGTAAGTTTTCAATGACGTGAAAATTTTTTTTTTTTACATTGTATTTTTTTTCATTTAGCCTCGAAAATGGCCAGATCGTAACCTGAAACAAAGTTCGAAATCAAGAAATATTCGATTACCTGGAATTTCGAGTAGTAGTCATCATAATCAATCATTATCATCATCATCAAGTTATAATCATAGCCATCAGAATAGCCATAGTAGTATGATGATGATGATGGATAATTGTGATTCGATATCATTACAACAACAACAATCACCATCAACGCCGTTAACTCCACCGGGTAGTTTATGTCCGGATCCAATTTTTGCACCTGTCATGATTGGTGGTGGTGATCGATTGATGAATAATGGAACACCACACATTTCACCAACAACCCCGGGCATTCAATCGATGAGTTTTTTTCCAACATCATCTGCTTGGCAACAAATTCCACAATCAACTCCTCCTCAATCTCAATATCATCATCAACATAGCGCATCATCTCCATTGATTTCACCACCTTTATCTTCAGATTTTTTAGGCACTTCAAACAAAAGTCCTTTGGTGCCGAAATCCGATCCACCACCATTACCACCAAGAGGTATTCGAAGCAATTCGATTGCTCCCGATAGCACTAATGCTAACAGCAGTAGTAGTAGTAATCTGCCTGGATCAGCACCTCCTCTTCCACCAAAAACATATAAACGTTTGGGTCCAGCAGCAGCAACATCTTCAAATTCGTCCGCACAACCATCGCTGCCTACTACTTCTGAAACGAATTCTGGATCATCGTCATCGACCGTCTCAACTCTTCCTTCATCTTCAACGACAGGCACAAAAACTTCTTATCGAGATAAAGTACCATTACCTTTACCACGAATGCCTTTGCCATCATCGAATCATTATCATCAACGTTTCAATTCGGATATTGTAACTACAGCATCATCATCGTCATCCACCAGTCCAAATCATGCATCACAATCAAATGGTCCAGTCATAAATAGACGAAATTCAACTGTTGAAAACGTTGCCACATTATCACCAAGACGATATTCACAAGCTCCATTACCACCACCATTGCCTCCAACACCATTAACATCATCACCACAGACACCAATGATGAATATGTCACAAACATTATTCAATCTATTGCCTGGTAGTAGCAGTGGAAGTCCAATTGGTGGCATTCATCATCATCATAATCCATCTTCAACATTATCATCGTCATCGCCACCATTACCACCTTTATCATCATCATTACATCGTCCACCACCAACACCAACATCGGCAACATTGCCCAATTCAATTAGTAATAGCAACAACAACAACAATAATAATAATAATAATAATAACAACAATAATAATAATGGTCCAGAATTACCACCGAAAACATATCGATTATCAAATCCATGTCGATAATTTTATTTTTTTTTTTTTCGATTCACCCATTCTTACCCAAACAAAAAAAACTAAAATGAAATGAAATTGCCAAATAATTACAATTCATTCATCGTTAACAATTGAATGGATCATTGTTTTTTTTTTCTTTGTTCTCCAAGCATTATAATTATCATCAAATGATATATGAAGATTGAGAAAAAAAGAATCATGTCATCTTTGTAAAGGCTCATTTTATCATTTGTTGTTGATGTTGTTGTTGTTTTATTTTCATTCATTTGCAAAAATTTTTGTTTTATAAAATGTACAATCAAATTTGTCGCCTTAATTAAACGCATGATCGATTGATTGATTGATTAAAATAAATTTCATGTATGATAATTATAATGATTTGAAGAAAAAAAAATTTTTTTAAATGAAAATTCATGCATTCAAATAATTGCATGTCATACATGAACGGTGTACGAATTATACAAACGGAAATATAATTCTTTTTGTATTTCATTCTTTCAGAACAAAAAAAAATCAATTTTATCAAACATGATTATTTCAAATGATATCTCACATTGATCAATCATAGTGAATGCATCATGCATCAATCTTCAAGGTAAACAAGTTTGATAAGATTGAATGTTTCAAAAAAACAAATTATATATCTACTATCTATTCAACCCGGATAATTCCAGAAAAGAATTGGCTATCACTGAAAAAAAAATGACGTCAATACCAATCCCAGGCATCAAAAATAAATTATACTTGTAAGGATGTGTTGTAGTTTCAACTACAATTTGAATTCAAGCTTTATATATGAATGATGATGATGATGAATAGACACAGAATTTGTCCATTCTATATGATGATGTGCAACGCAATGAAGAAGAAATTGAAAGTTCATATACATTACATATACATCTATAAATATATGGACAAATCAATATACCACAGCCATCTTTTACTGTCCATTTATTTGTTTCGAGCCATTTTGTAATGAAGAGAGAAAATGAATGAATAACGAACTGCTGCTTCACCGCTTTTTATTACTCACGTACTCAAATTATTACTTTGTGTGTTGTGGCAACGTCATAGAAGATAAACTGACTGAGCAGCTCAAAAAATATTGAGCTCTTCATTTTGTGTGTGTGGTGCGTTTTTGTGTTGATCTTCCAAAATCGATAATTTCCTTTTTGGTTGTATGGATGATTACGCATTACCAACTTTATTACCAACTGATTCATTTTTTGATTGATCGATAAAAAAAAATTTTACTCCGCATTTTTTTTTCTTGTACTTGGCATTTCATCATAACATCATTTGTCATCCACACAGAATAATATATCGATATTGATGACAAAATTTTTGTCTTTTTTTTCATCATTAAAATCATCAAATGATCAAGGCAGCTAAGACAACGAATTAAAAAAAAAATGTCTTCATCTACGATTAGATTACGAAAATGGTTCCATTGGAATCATTTTGCATATCTTTTGGTATTATTATTAATCAATGAAATGATTGTTGAAACATGGCAACAAATACAATATGAACATCCAGATTCAGCTTCACAACCAATGGAACAGGTTGAATTCAATTATCATCAAGGTGATGAACATCATATTGTTAAACGTAAATTGAAAATGAAATCTATATTGGGCGGTGGAAGATCTAAATCCAAACAATCTAGACCTAAACCACAATCAAATCCGTATCCAAAACAACCGGCACATAATCCTGCTTATTCATCTGGTTCATCATCAAATCCTTATCCAAAACAACCTGCATATAATCCAAGCTATCCAGCTGGTCCACCACCAGCATATCCTGGTTCATCACATCATAGTGGTTATCCAGCTGGTCCACCGCCACCCTATCCGGGATTAAATAGTGGTGGTTCTGCTGGTGGTCGTGGTTATCTACAACAATCCAATTATCCAAGATATCCTCAACAATCGGCAAGTTATCCAGCACAAAATCCTTATCCAGGATGTAAGTATTACATTATTTAAAATTCAATGAACGTTTTTATAATGTTGAATTTTTCCTCTTTAATCAATAGATCAAAATAAACCTGGAACATTTGGTAGTGGAAATATGTTTGGACATTCATATGGCAATAATTATGGTAGCGGTGGCTATCGTAAAGGCAAAGGTCTTAACATTGGTCGAAGTATTGGAACGGCTGGATTTGGTGCATTGGCCGGTACAGCACTCGGTGCTTATGGTGGTTATAAATTAGGCCGAATGGTTGGAGGTCTTGGCCGTATGGGACATTATGGTTATTATAATGATCAAGGCCGTTATATGCGTTGTGAACCACCACGTAATATAAAAGTTGATCCGGAAACAAATATTTCATACATTCCATTAGATGATGCTTATGATCGTCGTTGTTCATATTTTGATCGGCCACCACCATCTTATATTGAACCATCGATGTTAACATCAGCTGCTAATGTTATCAACATTATACCATCGGCATTCTTGTTGTTTGTCATTATATTCGTACAAATTTTCTCCACAAATCGAAGAATAATCTAAAATGAATGAAACAGAGTCCAACATCGCTTTCAAAAACAAAACAAAACAAAAAAAAACTTGGCATGTATGGCATAATATTTCGTTGATTCATCTATCTATATCTTAATATATTCATCACATTGACTGATTCATTTAGTCTTCAAGAGAAAAAATAATAGTGATTATCACCATTTTCATCATGTTCAATAATTTCATCATGATCATCATCATCGCTGTCTTCTTGTTGTATTAATCCAAGTTAACTATTTTCTGTTGAAATACAAAAAAAAAAAAATTTTTTATTGTTGTTGTCGTTTGTTTTTATTTAACATTTTCACAATCTCATTAATCAAGTTTTGAATTGTTCATCGTTCATTCATCATCATCATTGTAATTTGTTGATTCAACACTTGATATTCCCATGTTTCCTATTCAAGATTAACGTTTTCTTTAAGCCAACAGGGTTCCAAATTAACTGAAAATCATTCTATAGTTGAGAATAATGTTCGATTAATTTGGAATCCTGTTGGCTTGTAAGAAGACGTTAATCTTGAATAGGAAACACATTTTTTTGTTGAAAATACAAATTATTGATGATGATGATGATGGTGAATGTTTGTCACATCAAATTATTGATTGATTAGCGATAATAAACTTGATTTTTGAATTTTTTTTTGTTTATATTTTGAAATTAAATTTTAGAATTTCAAAACAAAAAATTCTACATTATAAATTCTGGTTTGATCCATTAGAAAAAAATTGTTCTTCGTGCAATGGCGAAACGAAAGCCGAAATCGAAATCCAAATCAAAAGGTCTTTTTCCATTGGAAAAAGGTCCAACACCATCGAAAATGGAACCTAAACAGATAACGGGAATTTATAAAATTGGTGCTGGCTGTCAATTTCGTGCCGAAGAAGATGTTATTAAATTTTTTAAATATAAATTAGAAGATAAATTAGGCGAAGGTGGTTTCGGTGTCGTTTATATGGCCGTTGATTTAACGAAAAATACAAAAAATGCCTGTAAAATGTGTCAATTAGGTAATAATATGAAAGATTCAAGAATAATGGACATGAAAAATGAATTGTTTATCATGGAAAAAGTGAAACATTTATACATTGTAAAACTGATGAAACATTTTATGACTTTATCACCAAGTGGTAATCGTTTATATTTATTCATGGAATTAGCTGATGGTGGCGATTTCAGTAAATTGATCAACAAATCTGGCCCGTTCACAGAAAATCAGGCCAAACTTTATTTTGCTCAAATTATTTGTGGAATCAATCATATGCATTCATTGGGCATTGCACATCGTGATATAAAACCGGGTAATATTTTATTGAAAAAAGATACAACATCCATAACTGGTGATTATCTTCTGTTGGTTACCGATTTTGGTCTTAGTCGAATTCAACATCATGATGCACAAGGTGAAATAGCATTGAATCGAACCATATGTGGTACTCCGATTTTTATGGCACCAGAAATTTTACTTCGAAAACCTTATATTGCATTCGGTGTGGATATTTGGGCACTGGGTGTTACACTTTTCATTATGATGACAACAAAATTACCATTCGATTTTCGTGATCGACAACAAGCTGTCAAAGATATGGTGGCAAAAAAATGGGATTTCGAACAGGATCGTATGAAAGCGAAACCATCGAAAGAATTACGTACACTTGTCGAACGTATGATTGAACCAGATCCAAGTATTCGTATAACGATGCAACAATTGACCAAAGATCCATGGCTAATCGAATCATTTAATCGAGCACAAAATAAAGCTAATCAATTGAAACGAAAAAAAAAAAAAATTCAATTTGTTGATTTGAAATTTTATGTTCCGTTCATAAACGACATATGAACAACATTCGCCATTTTTGCAATGTGTGTGTGTGTGTGTGTGTGGTGGTAGAAGAACAACAAAGAACATGGAAAAAATGAAAAAAGGGCGCAATTTTATGTTTGTTTGAATAGTGCCACTACTACAAGTGTTCAGTAAGAATTTATGTTACAGCTACCATGTTGTTGCTGAGATAATGCAATGCACACCAGATTTTTTATTATTTGGTTTCATTTCGATTTTTTTTTTTTGGTTGTAAATATCACATTTTTTTTTGAATATATTGGAATTATTTTGCATGTTTTAGAATCGTTTCGGAATAAATTTTTCATCATTTTTATAATTGATAATTGAAAAAAAATGTCAAGAAGTAGATGTCGAATCTATGTTGGTAATCTGCCACCAGATATTCGTACAAAAGATATCGAAGATTTATTTTATCGTTTTGGTAAAATTACTTTTGTCGATCTTAAAACACGTCGTGGTCCACCGTTTGCTTTTGTTGAATTTGCCGATTCTAGGTTAGTTGATTGATTATTTGTCATATCTGAATATTTTGAATAATTTATTTTCATAAAAGAGATGCAAAAGATGCTGTTTATGAACGTGATGGTTATGATTATGATGGATATAAATTGCGTGTAGAATTTCCACGTGGTCGTGAACGTGGTCCTGGTGGTGTTTTTAAATCAGGTTCAAGCTCAAGTTCACGGCCACCACCTGCACGTCGTTCTAGTTATCGTATTAAAGTTACAGGTAACGTAGGAAAAAAAATTGAAAAAAAATTTTGAATTTATTCTTTTGCAAACAGGTTTACCATCATCTGGTTCATGGCAAGATTTAAAAGATCATATGCGTGAAGCTGGTGATGTTTGTTACGCGGATGTTTTTAAAGATGGTAGCGGTGTTGTCGAATTTTTACGTCGTGATGATATGAAATATGCTATAAACAAACTAGATGGTTCAAAATTTCGTTCACATGAAGGTGAAACATCATATATACGGATTACAGAAGATTCTTCTAATTCTCGATCCAATTATCGTCGTGGTTCAAGAACGGCATATGGTTCACGATCCCGTTCACGTTCAAGATCTCGTTCGCGTTCTCGATCTCGATCGAATTCGCGTTCTCGATCCCGTTCATATTCACGTTCACGTTCAATAACGCCTGCAGCAAAACGATCACGTGGTTCACCAACATATTCACCACCGGCACGATCAAGATCAAGATCTCGTTCACGATCTTCTAGATCTCGTACACCATCATCAAGACGTTCAAGAGAATCACGTTCTCGTTCACTGGAAATATCAACAAACAATAATAAAACATCTAATGGTCATAATCGTCATTCACGGTCATATTCACGTTCCGTATCATATAGCCGTAGCCGTTCTCGTACACCTAATGATAATTATAATAGAGATCGTTCCAGATCTCGATCTCGTTCACCGGATAGTTCATCTGGTGAACGAACAAATGAATCATCAAGATCAATACGAAATGAAGGAAATTGAATTGATGATGGAAAAATTTTCCAACAACAACAACAATGAAAAACAAATTCTAAGATGGTTATTTTCTTTTTTCTTTTGTTTTATTTTCTTTCGAAAAAAATGACACACACATACTATAATATATGCTATAGGAATATTCTACCATCTCATTAGTGATTGCAGCACCCTATCTATATGTCTATCTGAAAAAAAATGATTTCATTGCTCTCAAAGCACAGAATTACCTCAAATATCTTTTTTCTCCTTTGCTCTCATTTGTTCAATTTTAATTCATAACAAACAAACAAAAATTCTCCAGCTATGCACAATATTCAATTTAAAAGACACAATTGGACATTTTTTTATAGAAAAAAAATCGACCTTTAATCGATAATGATTCTACATTTTACAGTTTTTTTTCGGATTGAGATTTTTGATTATTAACAACAAAAAATGCATTTTTTTCAATTGTAAATTAATTTTTCATTTTTTCTTCCTTGCTTTTTTTTTAACTTTGTTTAGTGTTTTTTTATTGGATAAAGACCATCCAATGGATTCCGATCCTTTACCAGGAACAGAATGAATTTTTTTTTAATGAAAAAAAAATCATACACAAATTAGGATAAAGGTGAATCCAATGGATCCAAAGGTTAGGATTCTCGTATACATTGAGTCTATATGATGTTTCTGTGTCTGTGTTTGTTTGTCTTGGTTTTTGTTTTTCTTTTGTTGTTGATCACGTTAACATTTTTTTTTTGTTTTGTTACCAAGGTGGATGATTGTGATCGCCAATGGCCAGGTTTGGATTGATCAAGTTTTTTTTCTTAGATAATCCATGGACAACCAAGCCAGATTATTTTGTTGTAGATGGATAAATTTGTTTTTAAAATTATGAATTATGAAATCTTTTTAAAAATGATAATAATAAAAACAAAAATTTTGAAAAGTTTGAATTTTTTATTTTAAAAAAAAACGGACCTACAACGTGCCATCTATCGGCCATTATGGACAATTAAAACGTCTGCACACTTTTATATATAAAAATCTTTGAGCAACGTATGCATTAAAAAACCGGCAACCTGATTTGGTTTTGTTTTTTTTCCATACAATGATCAAAACAGACCAAGAAGAAGTCGTATGATTTTTTTTTCTTCACCATAATATGTTGCTACAATTTTGTTGTTGTTTCTATTTCACCACCACCACCACCACCACAAGTCATATTCATCATCACAACAATATATTGCTAAAGTATATACGTAATAAGTTGAAAATTATATCATCGTAAGACGAGCCAAGAAGAAAATTATTAATTCGATATTCATCTTGAACTTCTGTGTGTGTGTGTGTGTGTTTGTTGGCTTGATTTCTTTCATAAATGATGATCATCTGATGATCATTGACATCACAACAATCAGGTTATTTTCAAACAAACTGATTTTTCAATGTTCAATCAATCATTTCGTTCGTTCGAATTTTTGTTTTGTTTCCTTTTATTTTTTTTCCGCATTTTGAAAAAAAAATTTTTTTCCCAGTTTCGTAATTTTGTATTTTATTAAATTTTCAGCAATAATAATCTGACGTAATGTTTTTTTTTGCTGTCTTTCATTCAATCATTTAGGACAAAGATTCTTTTTTTCATCATCATCATTGTTCTATACAGGAATTTAACATCATTATTTTCGTCTGTTCCTTGATCTTGAATAATCATCATCATCATCATTTTGTGCATCGTAGCATATGGTAATTTTTTTTTCTATTAAACATCGACGATAAAGAAGACACAAGACATTGAATCATTGACAAAAAGTCAGACTGTTTCTTTATCATCATCATCATCATCATTGGCATTCAAATATATTAAACGTAATTAAAAGTAAACGATAAATTTGTATGTATATGACACATCATCATCACATGATGATGATGATGATGATAATGATGATTAGTTTTAATATCTGTTTTTTTTTGTCTTAACAGCCTTTTTCTTCTCTTTTTCATCTGAAATTTACTGCTACAGCATATTCGAACGAATTCTTATTCGAATTTTTTTGTTTCTCCAAAACAAAATGCCTTCATCACCAACAACAGCTTCGTATAATTTACGTAGCAGATCAACAACCAAAAACAACAAACAAAATGGTTCGACCATTCATATTCAAAAGTCAAAAGAATCGGCAAATGGTCAGCCTAAATTTGCTGCGAATGGACTTGTGAATAATCATCATAATGATAAACAAGAAGAAAATTATTCCGCATCCCGTTCTCGTACTCGTTCATCTTCATTTTCTCATCATCATCATCATCTAACTGAAAGGCAAAAGGTAAGCAATTTTTGGAAATCTTAATGGTTTAGAATTTGTTTGTTTGTTTATTCTGTTGTTGATCGATATGATTCCTTGGCGACGAATTTTATCATGAATTCTATACTTTTGATCGATTAAATTTTTGTTGTTTTTTTTGTTTTATATTCATATTCAAAATTATGTCGAATCGAAAACTTTTCAGCTTATTAGTCCCAAATGACACTCTTTGTCTTTAATGTTTAGGATCGATGATGATCATGATGATGATAATGAGATGAAATGAGATGAATATTTTATTGATTAAAAGTTTGACGTCAATTTTAATCGAATTTTTTTTTTGACAATCATAATGAAAAAAAATCGGGTTACGTCCTTTATGAGCATATTGGAATTTTTTTTCAATTGGCTCCATTTCAATTTTTTTCATATATTCAATTTACATCACACACACATTTATATTGAACGATGAGATTCTGAAATGAATAAATTTGAAAAAAATATCCATACAACATGATTATCATCATTCATTTATAGTAATAGTATATATGGGTGTGAATTCAGTCTTTCTATATTTCGTTTTAATTATTTGTGAAGAAAAAGTGATAAAATAAATCGATAAATGTGCAACGTCATTGATCATCATTATTTGTCATTAAAATCGATCAATTTATTCTTATCATTTCATTTCGATCAATTTGTGTTGTCATGTTGATCAAGTTGATATATGATAAATGATAATGAACCAAAATGTTTGTACCGGAATCGACAAACTATTGTGCGATAACAATATGTGAATCATAGAACCAAATGATGATTTTTAACGGTGTAATAATTTGCGAAATAGTGAAATCACGTCCACGTTATCAATATTTAGTTATTATTGTATGATATAAATCAAATGCCAAACGGAAACACTATTGATCACTATTGGCGACAATAATAATAAAATGTCAGAAGTCGATCTAGATTTACATAATAATGAAATTGAAAATGTATCTGCGACAAAAAATTCCAATTCAGATCCATTTTTGATCATCAACAATGGTGATGATTCACATGATGAATCAAATTATGGCATTGAACAAATGTTGTTTGTTGATGAAACATTATCATCAACAACAACAAAAATAGAACAAACCAAAGAATATTCACCAATGATAATAATGACCAATAATAATGATAATTTATTTGTAGCTGAACAAATCAAATCAACTAAACATCATCATCATCAATTACCAAAAGCTGTTAAAGTACGACATTTCAACACATATGAATGATGATGATGATAATTTATGATTTGAATTTGAAATATGAGACAATTCTTTCTGAAACAATTCCATTTTCTTGATGCTAAAAATAAATTTTTTTTTTGTCATTTGCTAAAATTAGGATGAAATTCAATCATTGGTTCTTTGGCGACGTCCATTCAAAACCATCTATCATGCTATACATAATTTTATTGATTTGCTCAACAATTGTTATAATTTCTTGTAAGTCTTTTGCTATTTATTTTCATTTTCATTTGTTTAATTAATGTGTTTATTTATTTATTTTCTTTTTTTTGTGTGTATGATGTATTGCATTTCATTTCATTTCATATATAAAATATATTCAGGATCATACATCATCTACGACTTTGTCTTTCAATGACAATTTTTGTATTGATATTTTTTCTGGCACTTCAATTGGAAGGTGGACATCAACCATATGTACAATATGTTTATAAACGTTTAGCATGGTGTCTTTATTGGTGTGGTTTAGGCATTTTATCATCGGTTGGTTTGGGTACCGGTTTACATACCTTTATATTATATTTGGTAAATAATTTTTTTTTTTTTGGTTTTGTTTTTGAAACAAAATTTTCTCATTAATATTGTTATTATTTGATTTTGATGATAAAAAAAACAGGGTCCACATATCGCATCAGTAACATTAGCAGCATATGAATGTAATTCATTGGATTTTCCTGAACCGCCTTATCCAGATGAGTATGTTTTTGATTTATGATCATTTATAAATGACAAACAGTATTGTGTTTCTAATTCGATTCTTTTTTTTTGTGTTTGTTTGTTTGTTTGTTTGTCCGATCCATTCATATAGGATTATATGTCCAACTAATACTGCTTCTAATTCAGCTACTGCAGCTGCTGCTGCTGCTGCTGCTATTGGATCATCAATAAATGTATGGTCGATTATGTCAAAAGTACGTTTAGAAGCATTTATGTGGGGAGCCGGTACAGCATTGGGTGAATTGCCTCCATATTTCATTTCTCGGGCTCATCGTTTGGCCATGCATCAAGGTCAAGATGTAGATGATGATAATATATTAGAAGAATTGGAAGAAATAGAAGATTTGGTAACAACCGATGTTGATGGCGGTGATCAACAACAACAACAACAGCAACAAAATGATTTGTCTACTAGTAATAAGCCAAATTCATCGATAGAACCAGCCACCACTAATGTTGAACGTCGTACATCATCATGGGGACAAACATTGAAAACAAAAATGGTATTGCTAATGAAACGAATGGGTTTCTTTGGAATTCTAGCCTGTGCTTCAATACCGAATCCATTATTCGATTTGGCCGGTATCATTTGTGGTTATTCATTGATATCATTTTGGACATTTTTCGGCGCTACATTATTAGGAAAAGCTGTTTTCAAAATGCATATACAAAAACTTGTTGTGATTGTTGTTTTCAATGAAGTTTATGTTCAAAGTGTACTCACATTTTGTAGGTATGAAAAAAAAAAAATAATCATTATTATTACCCATTTGATATGTCATGAGGCTTAATGTTGCAATTTTTATCTATTTTTCTGTAGAAACATTCCATATATTGGACATTATATACATGAACCATTACGTGATTATCTTCAACATCAAAAGAAAAGCCTACATCGTGGTACTAACCAAATGATTCAGACCAAGGTAAATGATATTATTGGTAAATGTGTTTTTTTTGTCATTTTCTAATTTTTTTTCTGCTAAATCACCTAGGGCCAATCATGGATCTCGTTTATATTTGAAAGTTTTGTCATTATAATGGTCACTTATTTTATGGTATCAATAATCAATTCAATGGCCCAAAGTAATCTGAAACAATATTATCAACAAAAACAAAAACAACAACAGCAGCAGCAAAAACAACATTCTGGTGATACGACAATGGCCAATAATGATGATGATGATGATAATAATAAATCACAATCGAAAGCGACTACAATATCACCAAAAAAATTGGATAAAAATGATTGAAACGAACCAAAATGAAAGTGTGAAAATTAGGATTTAAAATTTTAAAATTTTTCTATTGACAATTATATGTGGAGATGTCGCTGTGCAATTTGTTTGTTTTTTTTGTAATTTTTTTCCTATTTATACAACAGCAAAATGATGATGATGATGATCATATTGCTGGATTCCAAACAAAACAAAACAACAAAAAAAATAAGATTCCAATTTCCTTTTACTTCAAATTATTCGTAGTATAGTAGCACTAGTTTTACCCCTTCTTTTTTTCCATCCCTTTCTTTCCAGAAAAAAAAATCCATCCATCATTTCATCATCCCCTTTTTTAATACATTAACCGGGTGACAAATGTGTGTAAATTATTTATTAATCATCAACAACAACAACAACAACAAGAAAACTTATTTATATGTGTTGTCAATATAAAAATGATGGAAATATAAATGTATATAAATGGAGTGATGGTGTGTGATAAATTTTGAAATGAATCTCTTTCCTATGATGATGATGATGATGATGTGAAATAAATTTAAATTTTATAAACAACAACAACAACAACAAAGATGGATTTTGATGTCAAAAATATTTTAAAATTTGCGGTAATGGTGTTTATGGACAGGTTTTCGTTTTTTCGTTTTCTTTTCATTTTTTTTTTGTCATTTCTGTCACTGTCATTGTCATTGTGTGTGTGTGACAATATATTTCAATATTTCCATTTTTCAACTCTAATAATGGTGACAGTCAATTTGTTTTCAATTAGAAATGGCCAAAAAAAAAGAACCTGAAAGTTTTTTTTTTTGTTGTTCAAGAAATTTATCGATCACTTGATTCAAACGTTTGTCCAATTTTTTTTTTTTCATTTCGCCATGAACTGATGATGATGATGATGGTGACAAAATCAACTTTTGAATGGCAAAAAAGTTTCGTTTTTTTTCATTTCGTTGTCGTTACATTTGATTGGACATTGAAAGTGAGTGCTGAATTTTTATTTTTCAATATTTCTTTCTTTTTTTTTTTATTTTGCTGACGCATCTCAAATAAAAAATGAAATGAAATAAAATGAAAATGTTCATTTTTGTATCTATATTTTTTCTCTGTCCAAAAAAAAAAAACCGATAAAAAAATGACAATATTGCTTGATGATGATGGTGGCAATGATGATTTTTTTTTTCGATTTTCTCAGGTAAAATGTCATGTTCAGTACCATATTTCGTTGTATGTGTGTTATAGTAGTAGGTGCGTGTTTGAATTTTTTTTTACATTTAATTTTGATATTTGTTTTGCCATCTATGCAGTGCAATTGAAGAGAGAGAGAAAAGTTTTTCATTTTCTTTTCTTTTTACAATTGTCATGTACAACAACAACAACAACAACAATAACAAAGATAGAAGAAAAAAAGATTCTTTTGGACAACCTGCGGTCCTGGATCGATTTCGTTACTCCTCTTCTTCTTCTTTTTTTTTTGTGTGTCTGAATTCTTTTTCAAAACTCATGTAACCAGAATAGAGAAGGAAAATGTCATTTTTTGTATTTTCCAATTCTTTTTATTTTTTTTTTTTTTTGTTGAAATTCAGGTATGTTTTTGACAATAATGACATGAATATACAGGTTTACAAAAAAAAAAATACAATACTTTGATGATGATGATTCCAAAAGAAACAACCTGGAGCAAAATATCTGTTTTTTTCAATTCAATTTTCTCTTTCTATGTGTGTGTGGTGGTGGTGGTGTGGAGATGCATTGATAATTTTTAATGAGATTTTATTTATTTTGACAATGGCAAATAGAGAAAAAAAAACAATGCAAATAAAATGTTTATATGTATTTTGGAACGAAATAAACAAATAAAAAAAATGATGATTTGATGAAATGAGAAATAATGATCATTGATGGTGGTGGTGGTGGCTGTGGCGGTGGTGGTGGTGATGCCAATATTGATCATGTTTGTGGCATATCAGCATATGAACCAGAATGGAAAAAGAAAAAGAAAAGTATTTCTTTCTCTTTCTTTCTAACTCTCGCACTATAGTTTCATTGGAATTTCATTTTGGATCGCAGTCACACAGTTGCAATATATATTGTGATAAGCAACCAAGTCCCTTATTATTGATTGATTGATTTGATTCTGGTTTTTTTTCCTCTTTTGTGTGTGTGTGTGTGTGTGTGTGTTTGTGTTCACTTTTTTTTACTCTATCACAAAAAATATTTTCCCATCAACTACTCCCATAAGCTTCAATTTCAGCCATTTATAGAATGATGATGATTCCATTAATGTGATGAAATCATTTCTCAATTTTTTTTTCATCATTGGAAATTCTTTTTCTTTTTTTTTTTTTTTTGTTCGGGATTTTGGATCCAGTGGAAAAAAAATTCATTTTTTTCCATAAAAATAATAATAACCAAGAGATATTGGAATGCAATTTGAATTTTTTTGCAAACAAACAAACAAACGAATGAAATAAAATGATGATGATAATAAAATTGAAATTTTTCTGTTTGTTCACCCTATTGATGATAAGTATGACCTATATTTATTCAGGTAAATGGGATCATACTCATGTTGATTATGATGATGATGATGATTTCTGGGTATTCAGTCATTCATTTTGATTAAATTCCAAATAAATTCAATGAAAAAGATAATTTCGATAATTGTATGTACGAATGTTGTTTGTTTGTTTCATGGCGCCCAAACAAAACAAATCAAATTAATGAAATGTAAATCTCGCCATCCATATTCAATCGATATATATTGGTAGCAAAAAAAAAAAAAAAAATTATCACAAATGATGTTTGATGACAAGCCAAAAAATGAAACAATTTTTCATCATTGGATATTCTTTTTCTTCAATAATGGTGATAAAAAATCATCACACGATCGAAATAATAATCCGATCAATGATTTCATTGGGTAGTGGATTTTATTTTTTCCCAGAATCCAGAATTATGTGTTGTTGGCCAAATGAACGAAAAAAAATGTCTAGATAAGTATCGAATAACAAACGTGCCACCACCACCACCACTAACTTTATGACATTGTTGGAATGTATTCCATAATAATTTTCAATTTTTATTTTCAATCAAATTGTCCAATGATTAATTGATAATATGCTCACAACGTATTACGTGATGATCAACGAAAGTATCAAGAATTTTAGAAGGAAAGAAAAAACAATGAATTAAACCATACTGTTTTTTTCATGGCTGTTTTTTTTTTTTTTTGGTTTTTCATTTTCATTTAAGAATTTCATATTTCATCGCTTGTACTTGGTTGTTGACGTGCCATTTGGACCAGTGCAGTGTTGCCATTTTTTTCTCTCTTCAAACTGATGCACTTTCATTTCAAGTCTGGTATATTATAAGAATAAATTAACAAGAAAATTAATGTGTTGTTAACCCAGCAAAAAAAAAAAAAATGAAATGAAAATGAAAATGAATCATTCCAAGTGTTTGTGTGTGTGTGTATGCTCTCACAATCCTTAAAGATTGGCCTATCATTAAAAAAAAACACTGTGAATTGTGAATATATTGAAAAAGTTTTAGATTTCTGTTTTTTTTTCTGTTTCTTTCTACATTTTATTTGTGTTTGAGATTGTAAAGATAACCACCAGGTTTTTGTTATTGTTTTTTTTCCATCATCATGTGAAATGAAAAATCATCATTAATATTCATGACCAACAAACGAAAGAGATAAACATTTGACCTGATTAAATAGAATTTTTTTTTTTTTTTTAGTAACAGTGAAAATCTTTTTTTTTCTGCTTTTCAATTTGAAAGTAAACTAATTGAAAAAAAAAAAAAAAATTTTGTTTGTGCAACAAAATTTTATTATTCATTCGGATGAGCAGAAATTTTTTTTTTGTTTTCTGGTAAACAAATTCCCATCGAATGATTGAATGATAGAATGGAATGGAGAGAGAGAGAGAATGAATCCCTAATTATCATATGGCTTCAAGGTAGAATGAAAAGAAAAAAATTTGGCTTTTTTTTTGCTACAATTGACTAACGAACTAACAACAACAACAACACAACACAGAATAGAAAAAAAATTTGCTTGATGATTATCAAAATTAAAAATATGCAAATTGTTTTGTTGTTGTTGTTGTCCATTTTGGTCTCTCTACTTTGTTTGTCGCATAGTTTTTTGTTTTCTAATTTCTGGTTTTTTATCAGAATTAAACTTCTTGATGATGATGAAAACAAAAACCAAAAAAAAGATGACGATCTAATGAATGAAAAAAAAAACAAAACAAAAAGAAATTTTTTTCTCGTGTTTTATAGCTTTTCATAAACATTCAAGGTTTGGTTTCATCTTTTTCTTTTTTTTTTTTTTGTTTTTTTCTTCACATTCGTTTCTGGTTCGTTTATCTTTTTTCCAGTCAAACAGACCAACACACACACACACACTCATTTACACTCTTGATTTAATGTGGTTGTTGTTGTTATTTTTGTTGTTGTCGTTGCTGTTGTTGTTTAGTGTCTGATGGATGATGATGATTATTCTTATGTTCGTGTGAATGACAAACAAAAACAGTGAAAAAAAATCGTGCTAATAAATTAACTCCTTTTTCTATGGAGCTTATTCGGTTTTTTGTTTTTGTTTTTTTTTTTTTTTTTGGTTTCACCGGGCATAATGGAAAAATGAGGGGTAATAAAATTTCAAATTCCAGATTCCATGTAATGTGTGTCCGTGTGAGTGTGTGTGAGATTGTGAGAGAGAATAAATAATGAAGATCCATTTCATTTAATCGTGAATTTTTCTTTCATTTGTATTGTTTTTGCCATTTTCAAGTGGAATAATATTTACAAATTCTTGTTGTTGTTGTTGTTGGAAATGGATTTTTTTGTCTGTCTGTGAATGTGTGTGTGTGTGTGTGAAACAATTCTCTGACATGCATATGTATGATAAATTTTTTTTCCAGGTAATTATGACAATGGATATGAAATCATCTGGTAGTGTTATACCAATTCTATGATCAAAACACGTAACAATTTTTTGTTTTCGTGTATATAAATCCCTTGTTGAATTCCAATTACAACACACACACAGTCCTTGGATTTGTCATATAATTTGTTCTCGTTTCAAGAAACAAAAAAAAAATTTTTTCCCTTTTTCTTAATCATAATTTTCCATTCTCACGCAAATTGCAAATTTTCTTTTAACGAATACAGCAACAACAAACCTTTACCATCAAACAAAGTAATAAATAAACATAAGTGTTTCATATATTCATATTT